CAGCATCACGTGTTCGGCTGCAAAAGGCCAAAGGGCCCAGGTGTCAGACTCATCCACCCGCCGATCCACGGCATCACTCATCCGCCACATCCGCACAGGCGCAAATCCTTAAGCTCACCCAGGAACAAACTCCCCGTCTTCCTCCCCACAGAACACCACACACATCCCCTCCGCTCCGCCCACCAAAGCAAAAGCAACCCAGCCCGAGTCCCCCATTTCCCTTCTCTTCCCCGGCGACGTCCCCACGCCCGCGGCCCCGCCCAGATCGACGTCCTCTGCGCCGCTACGCTGACCCTCCCGTTCCCCACGCCACCTCCCCCGCTCCCCCGTACCGTCGCCCGCGCCGAACCCTCGCCATTCCGCGCCGCGAGGTATCCGCCCCACTGTACCTCTAGTGTTAATGCTTTTCGGGGGTGCGGTGGTGTGGCGCACGCGCGCGCAAGAGGGTGTGTGTAAATAGTCAAGGGGCAGAGCATGGGGGCGGGTTCGAAGAGGTGGGCCACCGGGGCTCAAAACCCTAGCCTCGAGTCCGACGAGGACGAGGCGCGGCGGGTCAAGGAGGAGCTTGCCGACGACCTCAACGGATACCCTGCGGAGGAGGCGGAGGAGGAGGAGGACGAGGTTGTCGTGGAGGACGATGAGGTGGTCATCCCCTCCGACGACGAGGAGGACGGTGGCGGCGGGGACATCGTCTTCGTCCCCAACACGCTGGAGGAGGCCCTCGTGCCGCGGGTGGGCATGGTGTTCAACTCTGTGGACGAGGCCTTCGCGCTATACAAGGCCTACGCCTACCGCACGGGGTTCCATGCCGTGCGCCGCACTTGCCACAACTACGAAGGGCAACGCTACCGCTCCACCTTCACCTGCACTTACGGCGGCAAATCTGGGACGGGCGCTGCCCCATCTGACGTCACAGGTACCCGCTACCCACTCCGCAGCAAGCGGGGGTCGGCTGCCAAGGAGAAGAAGTCTCGCCGTGGCACCACCGAGAAGACGGGATGTAAGGCGATGCTGATCATCCGGGACAAGCGGGTGGATGGAAGGTGGAAGGTGGAGTCTGTCGAATTGGAGCATAACCATCCTTGTACTCCAGATATGGTGAGGTTCTTAAAGGCGTACAGGGAGATGCCTGAGTCAGCAAAGAAGAAGGCCAAGATTACCGATGAGATGGATGAGATGGTGGAGAAGTCGCTGAGCGAGATTGCTGAGACAAGGAAGTTCCCGACACGACCCAAGAGGGGTGCTAGCGTTGGGGCTGCTGTTGGTAGCCAGAGGTTTAGTAGGCTCGAGAGTTTTGTGCAGCGTTTTGGGGAGGATGACCTCAATTCACTCAAGAAGTTCATTGAGAAGATGCAACACAGGAAACCAAACTTTATCCACAGCTGGGATCTTGATCAGGAAAGTCATGTGAAGAATTTCTTTTGGACTGATTCTAGGGCCCAGGCGCAATACCGCTACTTTGGCGATGTCATTACACTTGACGTGATGTATTTACAGCACTCACGAGCCAGCCTCCCATTAGCCACACTCCTTGGGGTGAACAACCATGGCCACCTTGTGCTTCTTGGCTGTGGTCTCCTGTCCAGCGACAGCAGGGAGAATTATGTTTGGTTGTTGAAGAGGTGGTTGAGCTGTATGAATGGCAAATCGCCAGAAGCGATCACAACCGGCTATTCAGATGTCATCGCAGAGGCCGTGGCTGAGGTGTTTCCAAATGCAAGGCACCGCTTCTGCTTTTGGCATATCTTGAAGAAGCTACATGAAAACGTGGGACGCACACATGAGAAAGAGGCAATTTCCTCAAGGTTCAAGGAGGTTGTATATGATAGCGTCACTCTTACCGACTTTGAAAAAGAGTGGGGAGCAATGGTCGACCAGTATAATCTCAAAGACAACGAGTGGTTCTCTGCTTTGTACAGTTGTCGGAAGCAGTGGGCACCTGGGTATGTCAATCATTCGTTCTGGGCTGGCACCTCTGCTATCAGGAAGGCTGAAAAAACCGATCCATACTTTGATAGTGTTGTGAGTAAAACCACCCTTCCAGTTTTCCTTGAGCAATACGAGACTACTCTGAAAGAGAAGTTGGAAAGGGAAGCATATGATGATTTGCGCTCATACTATTCTAGACTCACTTTGTTGTCGGGATTGCCCTTTGAGGAGCAACTTGTGGAGCTCTACACAGTAACCATGTTTCAAACGTTCCAAGATGAGATTAAGCAATTGATGCATGTTATTTGTAAAGAGGTAGACAGAAGTGGGAACTCAATTACTTACATGGTCACTGAGTTAATACAGGGAAAGAAGGTTGACTATACAGTTGTTTACGACAATTCTGACAAGGATGTTTGGTGCATTTGTCGCTCCTTTCCCTCGAGGGGTATTCTTTGCAGCCATGCTCTGGCTGTTCTGAAGCAAGAGAATGTACTGATGCTGCCATCAAAGTACATCCTGAACCGCTGGAGGAAGGATTTTAGGATACTTAATTCATCTGCAAATGCTAATTTTATGGAATCAGATAGGAATCTGGGTATTTATGATGACCTCTATTTTCATGGCCATGAGTATTTTGAAGATGTCATTGACATTGGAGCAAGAGAACCTGAGCTGAAGGAGTTTGTGTTGTCAGCCATGAAGGAAGCAAAGGACAGACTGATTAGGCCTGATCACATCCAGCAAGTTGATCAACGGGTTGATGTAAATATGACTGTGACTGGTCAGGTGTCTGCAGATACAAGAGTTGATATGAACATGGCATCACACACCTCAGCTCTGATTCAGGGGGATAGAAGGGTTGATGCGGATATAGCACCAAATGCGCCAGCCTTAGTCCATGGCGATACCATGACATCAAATGCCACTGCCCTGATTCATAGGGACAGACGAGTAGAGATGAAAATGCCAATGACTCACCTTATTCATGGAGAGGGAAGACTTGACATGAACATGGCATCTCCTCACTTGATGCAGAGGGAAAGGAGAGTAGACATGAACATGGCGTCACCTCACCTGATACAGGGGGACAGAAGAGTTGATATGAACTTGGCATCACCCCATTTTATACACAGTGACAGAAGAGTTGATATGAACCTGGCATCTCCGCATTTGATACATGGGGACAGAAGGGTTGATATGAACATGGCATCCCCTCACCTGATGCAGGGCGACGCCAGAGTGGATATGAATATGGTATCAACTTCTCAGAATGGGATGCACACTTTTGATTTGGTGAATATAAACCTGGAGAGTGGCTCTTTGCCGATGGCCGCAACAGATTTTATGCAAATGCACCCACACCCAGCAGTTTACCATCCCAAACAACTTCTTGATATGAGAGATCAGGTGATGGATGCAAATAAGAGACCAAATATGGAAACTAACACTTATTTTATAGGAGGTGGTATGCATGTGGGGTAGTTTGATTGTCTACTTCTGTAATCCTTTATGTTCGGAATTCAGAGAGGGCATCCTTCCTTTACATCAACATGTAATCATGTATGTTCTTAGAGCTGGCAGTACAACTAAACAGCTAGGCTTTAGTATTTTGCAGATCAGACTTGACTGTTGATAGCTCTATTGTAACCTGTTACCTTGTTAGCAGTTGTAGCAAGCTGGATGCCCATTATCTTGTGCATAATGAATTACCCGTCTTATCATCTTGTTAGCAATTTGGAAGTGAGACGCCTTTAGTTGCAAGATTCTGCTGACATTTCTTGTTTCTTTTGTTGACTGATGATATATTTTTGCTGCATGCCTATCTTGTAACCTGTTTCTTATGGTTAGTGCATGTGTCATTTGATCTGCCATTTTACATTTATTGAGCCCATAATCTGTGCATGGGAAATGAAAGATTATTTTTTGTTTACTATGATTATGCAACTTGATAGTCTGTTGGCAGTCTGTTATAAGTTGACTGGTTTGTCTGTTATAAGTTGACTGGCTTCTCTATCTCTTTCTTGGTAATGTGTTTCTTTTGAGACAATTGGTGAAAGATCAGGAAAGGGAAATTTTGGCTGTAGCTGTGTTACAACAAGATGTACCTTGCTAATTTTCATTGTTCAGAGATGGTGATTTTTACAGCTCTCCGTTGCACATAAAGGATCATCAGTGGACATGTTCTATTATTGCTTGTTTCTGATTGCTTTATTTTTAATGAGCTGTGAGGCAATGGTTGCCCTGTTTATATTGACATACCACTTTTGATCCATTTCCAGTTAATATTGACTGCAGTTTTCCATGTTTGGTTAAAACTATTGTCCTGGACTCCTTTGGTTTAAACAAGTTGAATGTATTATGATGTACTTGATCTCTTGTTGGTTCCTTTTGGGATTTTTTGAAATCCCATTGAAACTTTCTTGTCAATTTGTGTTCTTGTATCATTGAGGTTTGCAGCAAGATAGAAATGGATGATCATCTTTGTGACATGCACTAAACGGTCTTCATCAATCTGTGAAAGTATTCTCATTCCAAGTGGGCTGTCCCTTGAGGTAAACCGAGGCTGAAGCTAGGTACTGCGAGCTGAACCATTATGCCACAAAGATTATGGGAACCTAGAAGTCTTCGTAAGTTTTTTTTTCCCTGCAGTACAAAACCAACTACATGCGAGTGGTGACTCCAATGTTGCTTGGTACTCAGGATTCCAGGTGTCTCTTGGTATGACAAAACTGTCCATTCATTGAGAAGTGTAATTCAAACATCCTTTTTTGCAAGTATGTATCATTAAACTTGATTGAAATTCAAACCATTCTATTTTTTCAAGAAGGATTACAAAAGGATCACCTTCTTTGTCATGATGGATGAATTTACATCTTAACAAGAACAATACTTTCTAAGGCTCTAAGCATACCATCTAATAGCTAGGATGTAGCAATTTTGGGAATATTTTTATTCCTTTTGATCAGGATGGGAACATTTATTCCTTTTTGCCTGCTTGCCTACACAGAGAAGGTTTCACCTTCTCCCAACTGATCTTACTTCCAATGAACCAATATTAATCAGACATGTCACGAACATGCAGCTTCAACCGCAAGGCTTTTTGTGACCCCTGTGCATGGATTTCCAAAGTAAGTCGATGACACTGGCACGCTGCAGCTGCTCACTCCGATGCAAGCCTGCAGAGTCCCAGTAACACTATCAGCAACCCATAAGAATTAGTTGATACATCGAGACATGAGAATGGAACAGCTTGTAGTTACCTCCTGAACAACTGAGAGAGCCTGAGTGCTGCTGCATTCGCCGTGGCTGTAGCTTCCACATGTGCCGCTCGGTGTCCCAAAGCTTGCAAACTTGATGCTGCTGATGACCTGGCCATCTTTTGGGCATTCCAGGCGAAGTGCAGGTCCATATCTCTGCATCGTCTGTTGAGAAGAATTCCAGCTATCAATTTGGGCTGGATGTGCCTCTGATACTTGTGCGCACACACTTCCTGTCTGCCTTATCACAAAGGATATCTTGCTTGGGTCACCACCAAATTGCTCGAAAAGGACTAGATCATTGCTGCCTGGTTGGAGAAATGAACGGGGAACATGGTACCTGTTTAACAAGGTAAGAATCCAATTAATCAATAGTCATTCAGTTCCTGCAGTTGCTATATTGTTGTGCAACATCAGAACACGTTGCTAAAGTGCTCAGCGTCACAGTTTGCACTAGTATTGCATTGAAAATGCATGCTTTATGTGCCATAGTTTCAGTACTTAAAATCTAGCAGGGTGTAAATCTTCAGAAATGTAAATGTAAATTGCTATCAAGACCTATATGTTACAGACAGATCTGGACATATAAAATTGACATAGATGAAATACTAGGACTGCCTTTGCATGTAGGGAACAAAAGGATCTAACGAAAATATTATAGCTTGGTGGGGGGATCTCTCTGCCCGGGGGGGGGGGGGGGGATGTGGAAGTCTTACAAAGTCTGTGATGGCTGGCCACACTTCTTGAGGCATTTGTTTGAATTGTAGCTTCCTCTATAGTTGCACGAGTTGACGCAGCCACTCTGTGGAGCCAGATTTGTTGGCCAGTATCGACCAATGCTCTGTCCGTTCACCCATGCTTCGCCTTTCCCCATTCCCGTGAAGTCAATTGCAACAGGATCATCACCAGCAGGAGGCGTGAACTTGGTCTGTGTTTGGAGACTTGCAGTTAGCACATCAACCCAAGGCAGCAATTCTAGGGAAATGGGTTAGCCAAAGAAATAGAATGTATATATCTCGTCTTTTAAGCCCATACTGGGTGTGTTCAAATGCCGTATATGGATTGGTTCCTTGGTCAGATGATCATACATTCATACTGACCTTGTACCAAATCAGTGGTTGATTGATTGGATAAGCATTGGCTGAGACCCATTCTGGTGAGGCTTCTGAAGGATCATATAGGTGCAAATCTTCTCCTCTGAGTCCAATCTGATCAAATTATGATTAATAAATGTGAATCACGATGCATCTTTGGTCAAATGGAGCTCAAAGTAGAGTTTAGGCTACCTGGTATGTCCATTCTGCAGAAGACAGATCAAGCGCACCATTTGTTCCACTCAGCTTTACTGGCCCAGTAATTCCAGCACCTACTAGGTCGAAGAATGCACCATAATTCTGTACGAACAGAGAAGGCAAGGGTAAATTTATGTTATAAATCTGTTGCAGCAAGTCACATATTGCAAAATGGAGTGGCTTATTTCATGTTTTCGATAGTGAAGGTTATTTACCGACAGCCCAACTGTTGCACTTAGAAGATCTATTTTGTTCTTCCCAGGTACAAGTTCAATTGGTTTCTGCCATGAGATGAGTGAGCTGCTTGCACTACCTTGTGCACTTCCTGGTAAGATTTTAGCACAAATATCTCAGAACACAAATTTGATTTATGCATGAAAGACCCATGTTAAGAAAATCAGAACCACAATTAAATGACAGATGAAGGAATTGGTGCTATCTTCTCGAGCAGTACCTGCAATTTTACCATTGATGTAGACCTGAAGAACATGTCCAAGTGAGTTGACAACCAGATTGGACTGGCTGCCATTTAGATAGGGTTCATCACCTTTAACTGTGATGCTGCACAAATTACATTAGTAATACAACGGTTAGTAAAAATTTGTTTTGTCAGAGTACATTACCATATGCATAATTGCAATAAGGCATGTACCTTGTTGAGTACCAGAGGAAATCACTGGCATCGGCTGTGGTGTTTATCTGCTCCATCAGTCCAGCCTTTGTCAGTGCATTGTCCTTTGTGATACCTACAGGCTCTATGGCATAGCTCCAGCCAGATACTGCCAGTTCTGGCGTGATGAATGAGCCATCTGATGCCACGTTGCTCGATTCCAAGTATCTCATTTCTGAACTCGTCACTTGAGAATTGATCTGCAATTTGTAGCCACGTATATCTGAATCAGATTAATGGTCAATCTTTCTTTCCCAACACAAGTGCAAGGAACTTATGTGTAAATTGTAATTATATGTACCTGAGCTGTGTTAAGTACCACATTCTTGCAGTCAGGAAGGATGCTGACAGACCACGCAGGGAGCCTGTACATCCTCCCATTGAAGGTGACGGTTTTATCAGATTGACCATCTATGTTGGCAAGGAATGCTGCGCAAACTGAACCAGTCTTGTATACCGCTGCCTGCAGATAGAAGAATGCAGACATCGTTTTACACGGACCAGACAATGAAGGTAAATATTTTCTCCAGAACAAGATTTGCTACATTTCTGCAATGCTGAACGTCTACTTGTTTTGTCGTCTCAAAGACACTTTTGGTTGAAAAATGAAGATGCTTTTGTAAAGGAGGACATACCTCAGCATTTGGACCTAGAGAAGTGTATGATGGATCAGTTACTATGAGCGCTGGTTCGCAGAGCTTTATGGCCTTGTGCACATCCCTTAAGTGGCCCCACTTTGGCTCCCTGACTAGTCCTGAATCACCACAATATTGAAATGGGGGGCAAATAAATCAACAGCGATTTTTTTGTGGGGTGGAGTGATAAAATATGTGTCCTTGATCCTTCATCCATGCTAACGTGACATACTGACATGTCATGATCGCCTTACATAAAATTTGTTACGGTATTGTTATAGCCAAACATTTATTTTGCCCCGTGAAAATGTCTTCCTCTAACGTGGGTGGGTGGGAGTAGTTAAGGCATCGTACACAAGGACTAGATTCCAACAAGATCATTTTTTTTATAGTAGCCATATATAGTAGGTGATGAAATATTCTACCTCATAACACTGCTGCAGCAGTGTCAAAGGGACCATACATGTTGAAAAAGGTTCACGAGCTCAAAACAAAAGCAGGCCTGCCGAGGCAAACCGAAAGCTTCTTACCATACTCGTCGATGGGGGCATCGTAGTCGTAGCTCGTGGCGATGAAGGGTCCCCCTGAGCTGCGGTCGAGGTTGGTCCCTCCATGGTACTGCAACGACAAGATTCAGAGTTAGAAATGCTGCAGCAGGAGTGCAGGGCCGACCGGCAGCATCAATGGACACCCTAAGTGCTGCAGTCCAGTCCTGCATTTTGTTGTCAAGCAGGCTGGCACAGCAGCTGTCAATGATGAAACGGGAGGGCGAATATCTTCGCACGGTGCGGTGCAGTGCAGGAGAAAAAAAGAGGTTACCATGTAGTAGTTCTGGAAGGTGCCGCCGCGCTGGTAGAACCTGGCGACGGCGAAGGCCAGGTCCTCGACTGGGCGGTAGGGGACGGCGCCGCCAAAGGAGAGGAACCAGCCGCTCCAGTTCTCGGTCCACATCTTGGGCTTGGCGGCGGAGTTGGGCGTGAACTGGTCGCAGTAGAAGCCGTTGCAGGTGTTGATCTGCATTCACCGCTGGCGGTGGTCAGGCGGGCCAATCCATCCATCTCAAAAAGAGGAGGCGGTGACTGTGAAGCAGAGGCATTGATTGGGCGAAGGATCGGTTCACGTACGAGGGGGTCCGGCGCGTCGGTCTGCTGGCACATGACCCAGGGCACGCCGGTGTCGAGCGAGACGGCCATCCCGGCCGCCCACCGCATGTACGCCTTCCCGGGCGCCCCGTACGCCGAGTCGATGTTGCCGTACTCGTTCTCGATCTGCCACGCCGTGCCCCAGGGGCCAGGTCAGGACGCACATGAACACACACGGCAGGCAATGCAATCAAGCACACGGGATGGACCTGGGACAGGATGATGGGCCCGCCCTGCGACGCGTAGAGCCCCGCCCCCTTCATGGTGTCCACCACCTTGGCGGTGAAGCGCTGCATCTCCGCCTTGAAAGGCTCGTTGTCGGTGCGGAACTTGATGCCGGGGATGAAGTGCAGCCACAGCGGGAAGCCTCTGCAGCAAGCACGCATCCATGGTTTTTTGGGTTCATTTTCATGAACATGATGAGGGGACGACCACTAGTGAAGTGAAGTGATGAGGCGAGGCTGCTGACCCGTAGTTCCACTCGGCGCAGACGTAGGGCCCGATGCGGAGGTGCACGTAGAGGCCGGCGTCGGCGACGGTCTTGACGAACGCGGCCAGGTCCTTGCGGCCCTCGAAGTCGTACTGCCATGTCGGTAACCACTTTGCCGTCAGACTTGGTGTAGGTTGTAAAAGAAAGCAAAGAAACTAGGAGGAGCAGGTAATAGCAGAAGAGAATAAAGCATAGGGTGCAGAGGAAGCAAACGCCAACACCGCCCGCCCTTTGACAGACGGCGATGATGGCATGGCATGGCAGTACGGCAGGAGCATAATAAGATGATTAGGAAAAGTAAATACATGATGGAAAATATATCACTGTAGAGAAGAAAAATAAACAGCACTGAGAGAGTGAGAGGTGGATGATGATGTTAGTATTTGTACGTGCCTGTCCCCGGACGGGCTCGTGGATGTCCCAGAAGACGTAAGTCTCGATGACGTCCAGGCCGCCGTCCTTGGCCTTCTGGATGATCCCCGGCCACATCTGCCGACGACATGCCATGCCAGCAGCCAGCGTCAGTACGCATCTCGCTTGCCAAGAACAGAGGAGCGTGCTGCTGGTTCTGGAAGAGAGCGTGAAATAAAGAGAGGGGGAAGAATGCGCACGTCGGGTGTGCTCCGTGGATAGTGGATGGAACCGGAGACGAGCACGCGCCGCACGCCGTCGATGACCAGCGCGCGGTGGTCGTACGTCACGTTGGTCGCCCGCGCGCCGCCCGCGAGGCAGAGCAGCAGCAACAGCGCCGCCGCCGCGGCGGCGAAGGCAGGAAGAAGCCGCGCGGTGGCCGCCATTGCCTTGCCACCCGCGGGACAAGGAAGGAGAGGTGAGGTGAGGAAACGAACAAAGACCACCGCCTCCGCCGGGACTTGGCGCGTTCGGTGTACTAGCTAAAGGCAAAGCTCGCACCGCCCGGGTATTAGTAGCTGCAGGTGGAGTGAGCGCGGGGAGGAGTTGCTCGCGCTCGGTGGTGGGGGCGGCACGCCAGGGGAAGGAAAAAAGAAAACGCCCCGCGCGCGGGGGGCCTGGATGGACTGACTGACCGGCCGGCCGGCCCCGGGGCGACCCGGCTGCCACGGGACCGAGCACTGGACTGCTAGCTCCTGCTGCCGCTGCGACCGATCCGGATCCGATCCGATCGCTTTCTGGCGTTGTTCCTTTGCCGCGCGGCGTGTTGTGGCGGTGGACGACGTGGGAGATGGGGCTGGAGCTGGATGCTACTATATGCTATGCTTCTCTTGAGCGAGCCTAGCCGCTGCGCCGGCGCCGCGGTTAAAAAGGGGAGCGGCGCGGGTTGTTTGATTTGGGTGGGGATCTCTCCCGGTCCCGGCTTTCAGCTTTCCTTCTGCTTCCCCGGCGTTTGGGCTGGGCAAGCAAAAATAGGGCCGCAGCTGCTACTTGCAAGCAACAACAAATGGAGGCTGCCGCGGTATAGGACGGAGCAAGGCGAAATCACCCACTCCGCTGCTGCGGCGGCGAGAAGAAATGGAGCGAGGCTGCCAGGCAAGGAGGGGCAGTACGAAGTTAATGGTGGCGCGCGCGATGGTTGGGTGGTACACACGGTGTGGGTGCCCAGTAACGATGCCACATCTTTGTTGCTCACCCCGCAGCGACGCTGGCCGCTCCCCGCACCGCATGTGTCGTCCGCATTGCCGCATTGGTGTGGCCAGTGGCCTCGCGCGTTCGCAAGAATAAACAAATCGGATTGAAAATTGGAAGAGAAAAGGCTACTACCGCTCGCGGTCGCGCCCTCGGCTCGGTGCCTGCCGCCGGCCGCGAGTGGTCGACCGACAGACAGGGGTCGCGAGCCGTGACCGACCGGCGTTGTCGCTTGTGTGTATACCTTGCTCTGCTCTGCAGAGCTCTACCGTGCTAGCACTAGTTGGGGGTAAATAAAGTAAATAAAAGAATAAAAGAACCGGACGGCGCTGTCGCTTCCCGTCTCGCTACTTGTTCAGCGAGGGCTTATCGGTCGTAGATCAGTCAGGTTTATCAGCCCAGAATTCACAGGCCGAGTAACGCGTATCCTACGCTGCACCGCTGCTAGTGTTGCGAGCTGTGGCACGACGACCCCGGCCTCATCTTGTCCGCCCTGCCCTGCCTCATCGTAGTAGCTTTCGTCTGGGGTCTGAACTTGGCCGGAGTAAACGACCCCGGAGTAAAAGGAGGGTAGGTTGTTACTAAGGCGGTGGAAAATGGTGGCCGCGACGTACGAAAGCAGGAGCACTCGTGCCGTCGGGTCAGGTCAGGGGAAAGAAAGAAACGAAAGTGGCCTCTGAATTGTGGCACGTCCACAGGGCCGGGGGAAGTGAAAGGACACGGAAGAAGAATGATAGCGGAAGGTCCGCACGACGAGAGTACGACTTGGTGCTTTCATTCTCCGTACCCACGTAATTACTTGCCCTACAATATTAGTAGTATGTACTAATGTGGATGCGGATTTGGCTATCTGGGCCACTGCACTTTTGGGATGCTTCTTTTGTATCAAAGGCTCTTCTTTCACACACAAAACGGTTTAACAGCTCTTAATAAGTTCTTATATAAGATAGAAAGTTGCGTCGTCATATCGCAAACACATATATAAAAGAAAAGTGTGACCAACTTAGAAATAAATAGACGGTTTTTATTTTGCTAAAGAGGAAATAGACATCTAAATTTGAGTTGGAGAGGACTCAAATCAAGATGGTTAGATGAACACCTCGTGCTTAGTATTTGATTCTTTTTCCGTCGGCACTGCTGTCTCTTTTCATGGGAATCCTGTGATGTAACTGCTACTCTCACCAAAGCAGTACTTGAATTTCAAGAGGCTGCATATATCATAAACCAAACACGCCAACTTACATGAACTTCTGTGACATGTACTACACACCTGGTTCGCTGATTGAGAATACAAGTTCGACCGTGCTACGATAATCGAATGCACTAGGAAAGAAAGGAAATGCTCCAATGCATAATAACAAACTGAAAGAAAAACGAAAAGGTGCTCGCTCTCGATCTCACAATTCATCACTAGTCAAAAGCATGCCTCGTAGGAAGGAGGAGTATTGATCAGTGTCTATGTGTATCTTGTCCCCATCCATCACGTTGGCCTGGCCGAAACTAGCTCTACCTCGTCCATCACGTTCACGGTGGCCACAGGACGTGTCTGCCTGCCTGCCTGTCTGTCCGAGAACTGAGAATGGCGGCAGCGAATCCTAACCTAGGTCTAGGTGCCTAACCCACTGAAGCTCTGCTTGCCTCCAGAGTCAAATGGCACCACGTCCGTCCTCGTGCCAAAAACCGAGAACGGCCGCGAACCATGGTGGTTGCAGCCGCAGCTCCCAACCAAAGTTACCAGTGATGGCGGTCGGTGCCTGTTGCTGCCAATAATAGACACATTCCATACGTCTGAAACACCACACGCTGAACCGTATCCACGTCCGCGCGACCAAAATTATCCACTCCACTGCGACTACTCGCGAAGACTATTCGCTCCACGGTAGTAGCCCTGGTGGGTCCAACATATTCTGAACCAGAGTATTATATCAGATATAGTACCAGCAAACGAAAAAAAAAATATTGGAATCACTGCGACAGCACGTACACCCGCCCGTCACTGCAGCAGTCTGTTCCTGCCGAAATGGATACAGAACGCGACTGGTGTCGCATGCAGAATGCTCAGAGGTCGCACGAGCCGCCCTGACGCCGCGGCAAAACCCAGAGGCCAGAGCTCAGCAGCGGGTGCGGCGTCACCGTTGCCTCCCATCCTGCTAACGCTCTCAGTCGTTGCGGCGTCGCTGTGCCTCGCATCCACATCCGCTCCGCGTCCTGACACGCGGACCTGAAGCACTCCCCGGTGTCCTGTGCGGTGGCGTCCTCCGGTTACCAGTCAGTCTCGTCCTGATACCGCTCGCCGGAACACCGTGCGGTGCGGAGGAAGCCAACGCCGAAGCGGAGTTGGCCGCGGCCGGCCTGGACGCTTTGGACTGTTGCTGCACGTCACCTCTTCTTCTCTTGATTGTTTACCAACGCGTTTAATTTAGTTCTGATTAGCCTTATCGTCAACTAGACTAGATAGCTGGGCTGGGTACGGAGGTTCGGGCGTGGAAGCTGGGGCAAGTGATGTCAGCGAACGCGATTAGTCGCGTGGGTTGGATCAGACTATCAGAGTAGACACCACACCACAGAGCTTTTGCTTGGAAGGGTTAGCAAGCCAAGCACGGACAGGGGCTTAGTCACCAGGTCGCTCGAAAACCACTCCCTTTCTCGGCAGATCGTTTCGCACGATTGCACGAACGAGAGCAGCATCTATCCGCATCCCAGACGAATCCGGCAAAAGCGGATGAGCACGGCGGGCGCGCGGGTGACGCGGACACATGCATGCTTGTTTGCAAGATCATCCGGGGCGCCGCGACGCCGACACGGATGGGCCGGCCGGGGGACCGTGACGGCATGGCAGCGCCGTAGCACGGCACGGCACGGCACGGGGCTGAGGCTTAGCTAGCGTCTCTTGGAAGTCCGCGCGACAGGACAGGACCAGCGCGGCGTGCACGGCCGATCCACTGCGTGACGGATTCGCAGCGCCGTGCGCCGAAATGGCGACCGCGACGGCATCTGACTCGCGATCGACCACCTCCTTTTTTTCGCGGTGAAATGGGACGCCGAAAGGCTTATAGGTCACGTTCGTTGCGTCCTCGTGTTCTTCAGTGGACGTCGCTGAAAACACTGGTTCCTATATAGAGTGCCGCTGCCGCACCACCACTGCTGCCTGATGAGGCCACGAGCGGACGAATGAATGGATGGCCAGAGAAGAGAGAGAGAGAGAGAGAAAAAAAGCATGGCCAGATCAGTGAAGGCGACAGACGAGATCGCTTTGGTGGCCATGTCGCAGAAGGTATCAGAACGAATCTGAATCTGAAGGGGGGGAAAAAGAAGATAATAACGTATAGGATGAACAAGAAGGCATCTGTGTGTCATTTCAATTTGCACATAACATTAGAGACATTGTGACCTCCGTCCGTCGCTTATACTAGTGTATTATCTAGTTTTGGAGTGCACATAACCTCTTGGGATGTACAAAACTAGTGTCACGCAAGCACAGCCAAGTACTGGCGCCGTGCAAGAGATGCAGTCTTCTAGATAAGAAAGAAATGTGCGAGCATATGCCTATCGTCTATCTTGTCGCTGAAGTATGGCAGAAATACCACGGTTCCGAAAGCCGAATTGGCGAATTCCACGATGATTGCCCTGTTCGCTTGTCTTATAATCCGTACTTTTCAGCTTGTTTTTTCAGCCGGAACAATGCTTTTCTCTCATAACAAATCAGCCCGGAATAGTGTTTCGGCTTTTTTTCAGCGAAGCGAACGGGACGACAGGACAGCATTGACACTCGTCAAACGCAATCTGCATTCGACGAAGCGCTGGAGATTCGAGCACAGATCACAGAGGACGACAGTGCCCAAGCAGACGTAGTCAACACAAATTGCAACGATCAACGAAAGGAAACCACTCCTTTGTGACTTGGATCATTGGTGGGTAGGCGCGAAAAGTAGCTGACCAAAACGGACACACCATTGTGTGGCAACTACTACTCTCTCATCCACAGTGCTTTGCTTGTTAAAATACAAGATGCTCTCAGAGGCAGATGATTTGGCCTTTGGGGGAGGACATCTTCCCTGTGACTGACGCTTGTTTAAAGTGCCTACTGCAACTGCAAAAGATCAAGGCGTCTACATCAGCATCTCCTGCGACATCAGGACATGCTACACATGCAACATGACTGCCTGCCACAGAAGCTATATGCCCTAGGTGGACC